CCTAATAAACCCCCCCACATAGCATTGGCCTTCTTTATTGCAGTCACACACTGTCTCGACATTTTCAGTGAGTTATCTACCACAACTCCAAGATCTCTCTCTTGATCAGTCCCTGCCAGTTCAGACCCCATCAACGTGTATTTATATTTAGGATTTTTGGCTCCAATGTGCATAACCTTGCACTTGGCCACATTGAACCCCATTTGCCATGCTGACGCCCACTTGCCTATCCTTGAAAGATCCTTTTGGAGTGCCTCACAATCCTCCCTGGTTTTCACCACCCTGAACAACTTCATATCATCCGCACATCTAGCCACTTCACTGCTTACTCCCAACTCCAAATCATTAATGAACAAGTTAAAAAGCATCGGACTAAGTACTGATTCCTGCGTTGCCAGAGTCGACCCTGCTTAGCTTCCGAGATCTGACAAGATCGGGCTTGCCCAGGCTAACCAGGTCAGGGCGCAATTTTACTACAGAGATCAGTTCCCCCGGATAAAATGGCTGCTTTGGAGGGTGGATTCTGCAGCATGATACCTGCTGAGGTTCCTTCCCTCCCCAAATCCTGCCCTCCCCAGGCTCAACCCCCAAATCTCCAAGGATTTCTCACTCAGTACCGAGAAGTCTAGCCTGTTCCTTGGTAAGACTTCCACTTTATTATTATTTTTTAATCCAAAAGTCATTTCTGTTTCTCTTTCTTCCCCAGGGCACGACCTTCAGCAAGAGAATGAGTCAGAGAAGCAAACAAGCTCTCCTGCCCCACTAGCTGCCCGTTCCACAAAGCCGCTGATCCTTCATGTCTCTCGCTAGACTTCTCTTGCCGGTCGAAGGAAGGCGCTGGGACAGAGCCGTGGAGATCACGAGAACCATATACTTTTTGAGGGCCGAGGGAAGAAACCACTCCTTAATTTAACCCCCTGCTAGGTTTCCCCAGAATTCTCACATCATTTTGCGCATCCTCAACACGACCCGAGTGATGTGCATATAGTTAATGACCGATTACGAACGTATTAATACATAAAATACATCACAGTGGAAAGTCGCCCAGTGCTAAAACGAGACCCAGACCTTCACGATGGATGACAGGTATGGGAATAAGGTGAACCAAGCGTCGGACGACTACCGATACCAAGGGACCAATTACGAGGGCTACCCTCCCCAAGGTGGCCATTACCATGGTGGGGAAGAGCCCGGTCAAGAGGAAGACGCCCAGAGCGATGCCACGGAAGGGCACGACGAAGATGACGAGGTCTACGAAGGCGAGTACCAGGGCATCCCTCACCCGGACGACGTCAAGGCCAAGCAGAAGAAGAAAGCCGCCGGTATGGCCGACGAGTTCCGAGACCACGCCGACCTTGTGGCCGAGAGGATGGAGGACGAAGAACAGCTCGCTCACCAGTACGAGACCATCATCGAAGAATGCAGCCACGGACGCTTCCAGTGGATACTCTTCATAGTCCTGGGCTTGGCGCTGATGGCGGACGGCGTGGAGGTGTTTGTGGTCGGCTTCGTCCTGCCCAGCGCTGAGAAGGACATGTGCTTGTCATCCTCCAACAAGGGGATGCTCGGTGAGTACCACTTCTTCTGAACATAGTCTCAGAGGGCTAGCTCTGTTGGCCCACAATAGGACAGCTAGATTTGAGTCCGGGAGCACCTGAGTAACCGACACACACCGCAAACACCACAATGCTTGAAAACCAGAAGAAGAACATTTGAATCTTCCAAATCATTCCATTCCTGATCTAAGCATGGCAGTCCTCAGGCAGAGAAGCTTCAAGAGGAGATTACAATGTGAGATTGCTGAACTTGAGTTCATTCATAAGTTCAGAACATTTGAATCCTCTCCCCCCCCTCCGAGCTGCACAGGGACGTAGGATTTTAGTGACTATGTGCATTGTAACCTTTGCATTCCTTCTTTTGAACACCCCTCTGACCTTCTGCTTGGGATATAAAGACTCAGCAGTCTCCATTCCAACTTGTATCTGATGAAGGGAGCTTTGAGTCTTGAAAGCTCATACCCGCCGAATCTTGTTAGCCTCTAAGGTGCCACTGGGGTTGAATCTAGCTGCCCTCTTGAACAGTGTGCCCCAGGAACAGGTGAAGAACTGAGTCATGTGAAGTACATTGGAATCATTCTCACTGGCCACGCTCAACTTGTCACTCTTGGCCATCATGTAAAAGAATGCTCTTTTAAAGCCAGAGGGGATGTAGCATCTGTTTGGCATGCAGAAGGTCCCAGGTTCATGTCAGGGTTAACTGGTGTGGTTAGCCCAGTTCCAACTAGTTTGAGAGCCAGTTTGGTGTAGTGGTTAGGAGCGCGGACTCTAACCTGGGAGAGCCGGTTTTGATTCCCCACTCCTCCACATGCAGCTGCTGGTGTGACCTAGGGTCAATCACAAGTTCTCTCAGAGCTGTTCTCTCGCGAGCAGTTCTCGAAAGAGCTCTCTCAGCCCCGCCTACCTCACAGGGTGCCTGTTGCGGGGAGGAGAAGGGAAAAGAGATTGTAAGCCGCTCTGAGACTCCTTCGGGTAGTGAAGGGCAGTTTATAAATCCTCTTTTTCTCTCTTCTTAGCAGAGTGCTTTAAATAAAGCTATACAGATGCAGAGGCGTCACTTTACCAGGTTACCCAGCTTACAAAGCTACACTGAGCCACATTGCAGGTTTCATAGAATCATAGAGTTAGAAGGAACCTCCAGGGCCATCTAGTCCAACCCCCTGTAAAAAGGTAAAGGTAAAGGTTCCCTTGCTCGAAAGCCAGTCGAATCCGACTCTAGGGTTGCGGTGCTCATCTCCGTTTCCAAGCCGAAGAGCCAGCGCTGTCCAAAGACGTTTCCGTGGTCATGTGGCCGGCATGACTAAACACCAAGGTGCACGGAACGCTGTGACCTTCCCACCGAAGTGCTACCTATTTATCTACTTGTGATTTCTTGCTTTCAAACTGCTAGGTTGGCAGAAGCTGGGGCCAGAGACGAGAGCTCACTCCGTCATGCAGCAACTCGGGTCCCGAACTGCTGAATTACCGACCTTCCACAGCCTGCAGTTCAGCGTCTTAACCACTTGAGCCACCACAGCTCCCCAACCCCCTGTACAACGCAGGAAATTCACAAATACCCCCCCCCACCCCAGTGACCCCCATCTCCATGCCCAGAAGAAATACTTCTCTCTTTATTTGAGAAGTACACTTTTGGATAGGAAAGCGTAGAGACAGGATAGAGTTCTAACTTACTAGCTAAGGATGGAAGCAGATGGCGAGAGAGGTGCCAAGAGAGGACAGCACGTCTAACTCTTGGTGCATTCAGGGAGAGAGTTTGTCTTCATCTGCCCGAGAACGGAAGGGAAATCGTCCCTGAGAACACAATCTAAATTTCAAAGGGGACAGCGGCAGGAAGGAAGGAAGGAAGGAAGGAAGGAAGGAAGGAAGGAAGGAAGGAAGGAAGGAAGGGCCAGTGTGCCTATCTAGCTATATGGTCTCTCTTGCCATGATGTGTGGAGGTTGAGGCAGGGGCAATATGCCTGGAACTTCCAACAGTTCAGTCCCCAGCATCTCCAGTTAAAAAGGACCAGGCACTAGGTGATGTGGAAGACCTCCATCCGAGACCCTGGAGAACCTCTGCCAGTCTGATTAGATAACGCTGACCTTGATGGACTGATGGTCCGACTTAGTATGAGGCTGCTTCATGTGTTCATGTGCTCCGTGGAGTTGAATTTAAAAAAAGAAGAAGAGGAAAGCAGATGGCTGAATATTATAAATAGAATTCCCCCCCCCTCCTGATAAAGCGACACACTCCATGGTAAACACTTTGCATTTTTCGTAGCTGGCACACGATTCCAAGTTGCGGATTTCTCCACTGCTGAATATTAAATATTTATTAATGTATGAAAATAGACTTGCGATATATTTTTAAAAAAACCCTATAGTTGAAAAAGAGAAATCCTTAGGTGCGTTGTTCTGAAGAATGCTCACCCGGTGGCATCTGTCTTTATTTATTCACTACATTTATAGTCCCGCCAGTTTGGCGTCGTGGTTAAGTGTGCGGACTCTAATCTGGGAGAACCGGGTTCGACTCCCCACTCCTCCACTTGCAGCTGCTGGATGACCTTGGGCAAGCCATAGTTCTGTCAGAGCTGTCCTTGAAAGGACAGTTCTTGAAAGGTTGTCTGTTGTGGGGAGGGGAAGAGAAAGGAGTTTGTAAGCCACTCTGAGACTCTGAGTGAAGGGCAGGGTATAAATCCAATCTCTTCTTCTTCTGCCCAAGCAGACAATCCAGGTGGCTCAGTGTAGCTGGGATTTACGGGAGTGGAAGCAAAGCAGATGATTGGGCGCCCCTTCGCCGCTCCCAATCCTTTGTATGCATTTGGAACAAATACATTATTTCAAAATGGTGTCCTGATTCTATGGCACAGTACGCCTGACAGATCTCCTGCCCCAGTGGAACACCTCCTGGCCCGCAATCGCAGTGGAGGGGGGAAATAAATTAGGGGGAATTGGTGTCACACCAGTGACCTGACATCACTTCTGCTGCAAACCTGGAACCACAAGGGTAAGAAAGAAGTCTTGATAAAGGGCCAATATTAAAAGCCTAGTTAAAATTTATAATATGGAGCTGCGGTGGCTCAAGTGGTTAAGACGCTGAACTGCAGGCTGTGGAAGGTCGGTAGTTCAGCAGTTCGAGACCCAAGTGTGCCGCATGACGGAGTGAGCTCCCGTCCCTGGTCCCAGCTCCTGCCAACCTAGCAGTTCGAAAGCAAGAAATTGCAAGTAGATAAATAGGTAGCACTTCGGTGGGAAGGTAACAGTGTTCCGTGCACCTCGGTGTTTAGTCATGCCGGCCACATGACCACGGAAACGTCTTCGGACAGCGCTGGCTCTTCGGCTTGGAAACGGAGATGAGCACCACAACCCTAGAGTCGGATTCGACTGGCTTTCGAGCAAGGGAACCTTTACCTTTACTTTTTATTATTGTTATAACAATATGTATTATTGTTACGTGTACCAAGGGGTCATTTCGTAGAAAAAGAGGTGCAGGAACTCATTAGCATAACTCATTAGCATAACTTATTTGCATATGCCACACCCCCTGACATCACCGGAAGTGTGTCAGAAGGCAACACCCACCGCTCAGGCTCCACTGGGCTGTTTTGGATTGCTAGCTATTGGGGGGGGGGACACATGCAACAAGTTCAGAATCCGGTCAGTCTGTGGTCCGCAAACCATTGAGAAGGCAAGAGTGGATTTAAGATAGATGACTCCTATTTGCTCAAGCAGTTTGAGGATACTGGCGTCAGTATATATGCTATTGAATTTTCCCCCTCTGCTTTTTTAAAGAGGCAGCTGGTATGAAACTAAATAATGAAGCAAAAGGAAGCCAAATTTAATAAGAATAATTAGTCATTTTGATTCTGCCTTTGATACTGCACAGCATGAGTTTAAAAAAAGAAAAGAAAAGAAAAAGGAATTGTGGAAATTATGTTCCCTCCAGAAATTTGCTCTGTTCTTCCTCATCTTCCCACGCACTTTGAACTTCTAAATGTTCCAGTAGCTTAATTCTTTGTCTTACGAAGCAAGAGCTTCAGGCTATGTCTGGACTGAAAAATGTCTGGATAGCATTTTATGTGCATCAAGATTGTGGAGTTGGCATGGATGCTGTCCAATCGCCCCTGTTCCATTTGCACTGCAAACAGGACGAGGTAATATGTTGTGTTCCAGAAGCCTTAGGGGTAGTGTCGGCACATGGTCATCCACTTCCACTCACCCCTGTCCAAGGAACTGTTCAGTTTGCTCCTTGCATCTGTGAAGGGCAGTTAGGTAAATGGAGCCTCCATGTTCATTGGCAGTATATCTCTGTGTGCCAGAAGCTGGGGACAAATACCAGGGTAAGGCAACATGTCACCTCATTTGGCAGAAGCATCAAAACTGGTGCTTAGTTCCCATGCTAGAGGAAGACCCAAGGTGAACAGCCAAGACTGGAAGTATTCATTCTTCTGGTTTCACTCTTTGATCACCCAGTTTGGTGTTGTGGTTAGGAGCGCAGACTTTAAACTGAAAGAACCGGGTTTGATTCCCCACTCCTTCACATGCAGCTGCTGGTGTGACCTTGGGTCAGCCACAAGTTCTCTCAGAGCTGTCCTCTCAAGGGCAGTCCTCGAGAGAGCTCTCTCAGCCCCACCTACCTCACAGAGTGTCTGTTGTGGGGAGGGGAAGGGAAAGGAGACTGTCAGCCACTCTGAGACTCTGAGTGAAGGGCAGGGTAGAAATCTAACACCTCCTCCTCCTCTTCTTCTTCTCCTGCTCCTTCTTTTCCTTCTCTTCCTCCTCCTCCTCCTCCTTCTCCAACTCTATTCTCTAACTCCTTCCAGAATATCTCCCTTTTGTCTTGATTTTTCTCCACGTTGGTCCCAAAATTGCCGTTTAACACTCAGGGTCAGCCTGTAATATTTCGTCATGCCGAGGGCTCTTGGCCTGGCCTGGCCTGGCTAGGGTTGTCAACTCCAGGGTGGGAAGTTCCTGGAGATTTGGGGGTGGATCCTGGGGAGCTGCGGTGGCTCAAGTGGTTAAGACGCTGAACT